CCCAACCCTTTTAGTTCGGGCGCTACTTGTAGAGTCATTAGATTGATTGGAAGCAGAAAAGATGAAAAATATGCAACCGCCTTCGCCGGGAATCGAACCACGGATCTCTGGAATACCGGCCCAGCGTGCTACCGTTACACCACGAAGGCACGCTAGGGAAGTGGGAGAAATACCTTATAACCTTATTTTAACATATCTAATCAAGCAGAAATGAGTTTAATTTGAGAAGATAATTTTGTTTCCCCAAGAAACATTCTTGGAAGTGTATACTTAACCATGATGAATTGGTAAAGCTTACAGAAGACAAATAAAATTTAGTGAGAATAATAACATTTTAAGCATGGTTGAAATCTCGTTTGAAAATCATATAATTTTTATTGGAATGCCCTCTATAAATACAGCTAAATCATTCGTTAAAAATGTACTAAACCGTAAAAATAAATCAAGTGTACAACCAATTAATCATCTTTTGCCTTTGACTGCTAAAGAAATACAAAAGTAACATAAACAAAAACATTGTCCTGTGGCAATCTAATGTTCGACTGCGTGCGCAGCCAATCCACGTCATGTGGTTTATGTAAAAACTGCTAGCGCGGCAGTGAACTCGCTCACTTCGCCCTTAGCTGCAGCATAGGATGTTGGAATTTTAGTTTAGTGGTTTTTGTTATTCGTTCTGTTATTTCAGTTGTGTTTAAAGTTATGGTGTGTGTGAATAAAGGTTATGTTTAAGGAAACGGATTCGTGTCAATTCAAGGATATACACCAAGCACATAACCACCACGCCACCATAAAATGGTAACCCGTCGTCAACGACCACCGTAGTCCTTTCGATTTTGAAATGTGTTGTAGGGGTTTATTAATATCCTAATAGTTATTTTTATTTTTTAACAAGCTTTCCTTTACTTCCTTATTTTCCACTTACGATTCCCTACCAGAATGAAGTTTCAGGATCGCGTTTTATGTAAATGAGGTATAAACCAGTATTTAATTTGAAATATCGAACACTTAAGTAGAAAGGTTTAGAAGTTTCTAAGAGAGCGTTACGAAGGAGTGGTCTGCCTTCCGATCACGTTGTTGCTAATACTACACTTCGGCCGTATTATTACCTGCCTGCTAGTAGTATTCGCCCGTGATCTTTAATAAGGGCCACCTCTGTAAATTATTGTTGTGCAGCTTCGGCTGGTTTTAGATTAGTTAATATTAGACAGTTTCTTATTTTCTATGCCGTTAAAGCTCACATGGAGGCTTACTGTAAGCCCTTGAAGGGGCCATATGTGAATCATTTTTAATTTGGAATAAAGGGTAAATTTAACCCTTCTTTGGACTTACTACCGACTTGGAACTCTGTGATTTATTCGCTACACAATTCTTAAATATTCTAGCTTGTAAGAACCACAAATTTAGGTAGAACATTACAGTATTCTTCTTGTTTTGAATCCTGATTTAATTTGCATAAGTATGCGAAATTATTCTCCAAAAATACAGGTAAATTGTTATTAGTATTTTTATGTTAATTATAATAGGGATTATTCTTTCCGCATTTTTTTTTTTTTTTTTTTTTTTTTTTACTGAGTTTGTATTAATCTTGATTCTGGGTCAAGTATTGACGTTGTCCCTGGTATTCCCCTGTTGATCGAAAGTCTAATGTGCCTTCATTTGCTGTTTTAGTAAGCGATAATCATATAATTATAACACTTTTGCTACTACAACACTATTCTCTTACAGCACTGTTACTACATTATTCATACTATTACTATGCTATATAACATTATTTAGACAGCTTTTCCCCCACAAACGTTTAACTGCCTGATGCCATACCGCTTTTTCCATCTGCCGATCCAGCCAGCACTAGCAGTAAATGCAGGCTCTTCTTCTTAAAATTCATCATAAAATTGTAGGTTTTTCTTATAAAATTGGTCCTGAAATGGGTGTTCCCTGCTCCCTTTGTTACCTGAACCTCAAATAAAACGACTTACTCACATTTTCATATTCACTACCTTTCATACTTTTACTTTCCTTCAAACTATCCGTATATGATCTTTTCACACACCAAACCTCGATTTCGGAGCTCTTCTTTTTTACATCTAACAAAAGTAGTCCGTCCAACACCTAAATCCATGGTTATTTTGTTTACACTTTCCCCTTTGTTCAGGCTCACCAGCGGCCGAGCGGTAACGTCGCTGAACACTGGTAGTTCGGTGCGAGGTTCGAATCCCGCGAATGGGCTGACTGCATGGGTGTTTTCGTGGTTTTCCCCGTGTGTAACGTGTATACGAGCCAGTTTCCCTTAAAAAGTCCTCCCTTCCTTAAGGCGAGATAGCCCTCGAGTGCTTTCCCGTAATCTAATAAACCAAACCAAACTTTTCCTTTGTTCAGTCTCTTTAAAGCACCTAGTTTCAATTCCACTATCTCGTTAGTTTGTTTACTTTTCGAAAGACATTTTCACTTCACAGACTATCAAAAGTTCCCCCAAAATACGTTAACACTTATACGTCTGGATGTGAAGTCAGGAACGATACCCGCAATGAACTGAAATCCCTTGAGTTGGTGTGTGCTTAGTTTGCAATGAGATGCAGTCACAAAACTTCAGACAAGTCTCCTAACGTTTCGCAACAATAGAAAGGAATGTGAGCCAGCGGCCAGCTGCTACCTGACTTTCTTCGAATCCTCGAAAGAAGCAAACAACTTTGTTCAGTAATATAATATATCTTGAAATTTGTTAAGCAGTTCCAAGAATTAATTGCACAATGCCAAAACGGCAAAAATTACAGAAAACGGACACTCAAATCTTTGAACAATACACTCAAATCTTTGAATAGTAGAGAAAATATTTACACTCAAATCTTTGAATAATAGAGAAACCGGGATATTGTGTACGGCCCTCTTTAACCAGTTACTTAACAGATGCTGCATCAGTAAAGTATTATTGTGTGTCTAAAGAGCATTTGCGTCAACGTTTGCAACTGTATATACTAATCAATGAAGAATCTGATGTAAAATTCTTGGAATGGTACATACACTCCTTTATGTGGCTCCACGGGTATAAGTAATAGTTTTTATACTAAACGAAAAATTCCATTACTTCCTTCAATTCTTATGACATTTTCCTATGACTTTCTACAAGTATAGTCAGGCAAGTTTCAAGCATTTCACGTAAATCATATTTAGTGCCTGTATATAGGGTGTTTGATAGAATGTATCTGAAGAAGTTTAAAGTACTTATAACATTTAAAGTACTTATAACATTTTCTTAAAAAACCATTATTAAGTCATTTGCATGAGAGTGTATGATATTAATCTATTAAAATAAATGAAGAGTTAAAAGGCCAGATTCTCTAGAAAGACCTGAAGTTAAATTTATTTTTAATTTTATTAGTATTTACAATAATGCTGCACTATTGCGCTTTTCACTTAAAAGACGGATCTGAGTACTTATGAGTTTACTTAATTTTGTATTTTAATTTTGTTAGACAACACACACACACACTATATATATATATATATGATAAAACTGCTACTGCTCAAATTTATGTACATAAGTTCGTTAATTTACAAGTATTAAAAATACGTTCTCCATCCATCTTATTTATGTACATAAAATAAAACTAAGTATTAAAGTAAAAATGTAGATTAGGATGAGGAATTGCATTTGAAACTAAAACTGAAACCGTTTTTTAAAGTTGTACAGGGAAAGATACTGAAACTGAATAGCTGAAATATATTCAATGCAATAGTAAATTGACATCTGAAATATATAAAATAAATTAATTATTTATTCATGAATTTCTGAAGTATTCTCAATGCAATAGTAAACTGACATCTGAAATATAAACTAAATTAATTATTTATTCATGAATTCCTGAAATATTTTGATTGCAATAGTAAACTGTCATCTGAAATATATAAAGCAAGTTGATTATTTATTCATGAATTTCCGAAATATTTTCAATGCAATAGTAAACTGAGATCTGAAATATATAAAGTAAATTAATTGTTTATTTATGAAATCTAATTAAAAATTAATCCAGTAAAGATATATTAAACAAGTCAAATCATAATAAAAAAATGGTAGTGTTCCAAGAAAATCGTATTAAATTAGGTAAACTACTCACAATAAAACTAAAAAACAATCTGCGGTTTAATTATCAACAAATATTTAAAGTGGCTGTATTTTAAAGAATTTGGAATTAAATTAAATATTAGGTCATAGCATCTGGGACTGGAAAGTTTAGTGTCTTAGAAGTTATTCTGAAGTTGTAAGATAACCTAAATGTTTCACCTGTGAATATCTACACAGTTAGATGAATTTGTCGATAATTCCTCAAAAAAGGATTTGGCGACTGGGTCTCCGCTTTAGGGCTGGAGTTCGAATTTCAGCAAGGGCACCGCTAATTTTTCATTGTTCTAGCTTCAAAATAAACCTGATGACTCTACATAGAGAACAAAAAAATCAGTTAACATGCAGCAGGATTTGAACCACGGATCTTTCGACTGCTAGCCAGACAAGTGCTAGCAAATACACCATGACAGCATGCATCATGTTGTTTATAATTTATTTATTTTTCAGGCTTACCATTATACGAGTGCAAATAACCAAGATTATTCTGCTCGAAATTTTTAACTAGGGACATATAAACGCGCCACCCTCTCACTCTGCATATTTGTAATGTGAGGACATGAATCCAAGCAGATGTTATTTTCTCATTAGTTTAAAGTATCATTGCATTAAGCTAATAAAAATAGCAATAAAAACTTAATACAGCATTTAACCAGCGCCAGAATTAACTTGTTGCTCCGCATGCGTTTCTCTGCGTAGCAGTTTATAGACATGTCCGAGAAACGCTGCGAGCAAAAGGAAAAGTTTAAAGAAAAGCATAATTCATTCAATAAAGGCACGTAGAAACTAAATCCGTCTGTGTGATCACTGATGTGGAAGCAAAAGTGTTGCTGAATGCTTTATACAAACGGATCAAGTAGCAATAAGTTAATTAAAACTTGGTTTCAAGCGACTGCAGCGCCACGGCCAACACAACTGTTTATTTCCTTTCTTGTTTCCTACACTGTAGCAATCAGATGGACCTCGCTCTTCTGCTGTATCTCTGTCTACGCACTACGCACAGTTATTTTTATGCAGCCTAGTTTATGTTTGAGGTAAGCGTTTTATAGAAAGCTTGCATTATATCTACACTGAAACGTATATTTTTTTTATGTTTTCAGTTTGAAAGTTTGTAACGTGTATTCTGAGCTTGATACGTATGAAAGCACTAGCTTAATCGTGTTTAAGAACGCATTTTCTTCTACCTGTTTACCGCTGGAATTTCGGTTAAAATACTGTTCCCTTATTTTTTCGACTATGCGGAATGTTTATAAATAAATTTCATAAAATATTTAAAGGTTTTCATGAAAAATTTCCAGGTTTATACTGGCTGGGTTTGGAAAAAATTTACAAAATTCTCGAAGCAGAAAATCAGTTCGCTTCCTTAAAACGTTTTCTTTCTTAATAAGGATTTCTTTTGTTAAGAAACGCATATAAGTAATCAACATTAAATTTTAATTAACTTTTTTCCCGAGGCAAAGGCTAAAGGGATTATCAGCTAGAACTAAATTATTTTTTTCATTTAAAGTGCTCAAGTTCTCTTATCTGTGTGCTTACCTTATAAAATGAGCCTATACGTTTTTTTAAATTATTGAAATCATGTGTCATTTTAATATTTAATATAATTTACTACAGCAGCAAATTTATTTAATCTTTGCACTATTTATTAGGCACTAGTTTAGCCTTTAGAACTTTAATTTTGCTATCATTTCGCTTTCCCAAAATACAATGAAAACTGCCTTTCAGATATCCGTTTAAATTATGAACATCCTTTAATTAAAGTCAAATAAAATTCTTTTACTGAGTTCTTCGAGTAACTCAACTTCGTCCATTCAACTTGTTTGTAGGTTCACGAATTCATCGAGCCTTGATGGAAAGGGTTGCGCTTGTCATTGGTAAAGCTTTGGGGCACTTTTTTAGATGACATTCAGAATTTGCCCAGTTCCATCCCAGTTTTGATGGAGAACAGCCCCCTCTCTCTCGGGACCCGGATCCAAGGATCTCATACTTTCTTCTCCTACTAGTAATATCTCAATGGAACTTTCGATACCACGTTATTTCAAAAGTCTACACGCCTCTGTTATTTACAAACACTCATGACTATTTATTTATACAGACATTATTTATTTACAAATATTCAAGCCTTCTCTGGGATTCGAGCCTGAGGCCAACGCTATGGCAGCCGGTTTCCCTACCACCATGCCAAAGAGGACGACTGAATTCCATTTTATTGTATTAATATATCTTTGAAGAAAAGAACTTTTATAGTCTGAACCCTATGTGGATTTCTCTCTTATTAATAAATGGAGTTAAAGTTTAATTGGACATTACGTCATTAAAATAGGCAACTTCTTCCTGTACTATAAATTTTTATATATTTTAAGAAATACTGTTTACTTATTACTAAACTGTAATGTATTTTTTACCAATAATGGGTAATTGCATTATAATAATTAACTTTCAAGTCTTAAATAGTGAGAAGGCGTAAAAATTGCTATCGTCATTTTCAAAACACATTATTATTAAAAATTTCTATTTGCTCAGTGGATTCTGAAATATTTATGAATAATAATAATAATAATAGGGATGTAAGCGGCTTCTTTTTTTAATTATCACTTCTAGAGATAATATTTAAAAAAGTCTATATTCTTATAAACACTGTGCCTAATGTTATCCTTCAAGTTAAAATAAATTTTGAATGAGTTTTTTTTTTTTCATGTGTCTGAAAAATGTGATGATTGAGGCCTGTTTTCATGATAAATCAAAGACATCATTCTTTCATTCAATGTTTACTATTAAAAGAAATTCGTAAATTTATGTCTCGTCTAATAAAATTTTTCAGTTTAAAGGCAGGTTCCTTAGAGCATTGGAAATTTATTCTATTCATATTTCTGTATTAATAATCAAAGAAATTTTGAAAAAAATGATGTCTCCTCAAGTAAACTATCTCAAATTTTATTGTAATTTCGGTATTTAAGTAAATCATTCTGAAACTTGAAACACTGTGTCTTTTGAGTTAGGCACATTTTTTTTCTTGTTACCTGATTTTGGCGAAATGCATAACATCTTCCTTATTTAGTCTGCTTTCTCCCCATTCATACATCGTTTGATATGCAACTTATTTTATTCTCAAACTAACTCATATCCTGTTAAAATTAATTCTTATCCTCCGCTATAAGCATGTACCGTTAAAATTAAATGATCTTCAACGGCTGAAATAAATGCAATATAGCTAATAATTATATATTAAATGAAGTAGCACCGAAGCGTAGCGAATATTACAAACGCGCTCAGCTATGCTTTCCTTGCATTCATTTTTAAAAACTGTTCTTAAATTTAACATGAATGTGTTGACTAATTGATGCAGTTCTTCCAACTTTCGAATACAACATCGGAGATTCTTTGGATACACATAAATAAAAGCCATGTTCACTGATGCGTATAGCGAGATAACACAGATCCACTGAACCCCAACGAAATCCGTGTGAAGAACCAGCCTTCATTGTTTTGAAGAAGCAATACAAAGCAACGGAAAGCAGTCTTTCGGAAAGACCATCATATCTACAAATCTGCGAACTCAAATACTGATATTCCAGTTGACGTAAGGAATAATACATTAATAGAACATATATTTTTCCTACATCACTGCTTAATTACCAAATAAATAACTTTCTTTACATTCATAATGAATTTTTCAATGTCAATTCTCTTCTCTGAATGTTATCGAATTCATTGAGAATCTTCAAATTTGTCAACCGGCCACAGTCCTGAAGAATACTTAAAAAATGTAAGCAAATATAAATCCTTGTGTAACAAAAATCTTTAACGACTAAATACGAAATCAATAGTAATATAATTGAATGTCTGTATCGTAATGTCTTATTCTAATACATCATTTTGTTGTTTTCGTACTGTGGTTATTTCAGTAAGAGATTTTACACAACCGGCGATGATTGTTGTAATATGAATCAAGTGACTGAATCATATTATTAAGGAAGTAACAATAAGCGTTGTTATGTCTGATAAGATCTGAACAGAAAGAAATATCTGCGTTAAATGAGGTGGCACACATAGATGACATTCTTATGTTGGCATTCATACTCAAATGAAATGTCAACAGTGACTTCTATAGCAGTAGATATAGGCACTCATTTATTCAAATACTAATATGGGTATGCACTGTTTTATGTGCAGACATCAGAGTGAGGTGTAGAGTATGAAAAAAAAAGATGTAAAAAAACAGGTGTAGAAGTATATAATTTGATGTACTACCTTGTAAATAAAGCAGTATAAAAAGTGGATCAAGCAATTACTCTTTTTGCGTTAAATCCTATTTGCGACGTTAGGGAAAGCATAACTTGTTTAATTATGTAGTCCAATATTATTACACAATTTATTAATTTATTTACTTTTTCAAATTCTATAACTAACTGCTAATATTTACATGTAATATCTGCCCAGTAGAACATAATAAAAAAGCTATGCTACTTTTTAATTCATTCTAAAATGCATATGTGACAAACACTAAAGTTTCGTGATTTTTGATAGCCTCGACTTGTTAAGACAGCTGAACAGTGGAACCTCAACCTGGCCTCGAATCCATTTTCGGTTTCCCCCAACAGCAGATACGAGGCAGTTTTCCTTAGAAAGCCGTCTTATGAAAGCATCCTTTCCCTTCATCCTGACTGTCTTCGATTCTGATCGCTTGCTTCATCCTCATTGCTTTGCCATATTCGAACAATGCAACCGCCTTTGCGAATCGTAGTATCAGGGAAATGTACATATATAATTCATGAATATAATTTGTTCTGGGTTTAATTTCTAAAGATAAACAAATAACAAAGAATTGCTGAACAAAGAATAACAAATAAATAAACACAAACAAATAATAACAAAGAATTGCTGAACATTTGAACGATGTTCATAAAGTAATGTAACACAATTAATCGCTATGAAGGTAATGAATTTTTCTTATTTTTATGAATTCAATCACATGCCTTTTATGAAAATTATATAATATGAAACAATATGGCATCATTCGTCTAGTACTTCTCGAGCCATTGTTAATTTATCGTTTCGTATTTAAACACTTTGTGTATTGTGATATTCACAAAATTTTTGACAGATCTGAATAACAGTTTTCAATTTTTATCGAAGTCGACTCTAAAATTTTAATCTTTAGCATGACATAGCTAGCATGATAAATATTTTAAGGATCGTAGTCACTTTAATAGAGAAAACTAACTGATGTTTACAATTTGCATTCCATAACCCTCTGAAGAATTCTTTCATTTCCACTAAATTTTAAACATACATTTTTCTTAAGTAGTGAACACGTGAATTTGCGATATGAGAAATGCTTTATAGTTAGTATGGTTTCTACAAAGCTCACTGACGGCCCCGAGGATAAATCGACTGACAGGACGTTTGGCCATACTTCGTTTCTTAATAAAACTTTCAAGATCACTGTGTCATAGTCTTCATATGCAACGTGCACTGACTAGCCAAATATTAAACCCTCAATAGAATTACGTTGCTTGCAGCAAATATAGGCTTCTTCAATTAATGAAAAATAAGTTCCTAGATAGTAAAGGATACATGTAATACCTGGACTGAATCTTTTTAAGTCAGTAATAAAACTTGGGGAAAGCAAACAAAAATTTCAACTTGGAGAAAGCAAAGAATTTATCTGGCTTCAGCAAAACCAGATCGTAATTGCAAGACGCCTAAGATAAGAGCATCTTCAAAATATCGACAGCAGTACGCTTTCTATGCCACAAAATAGTTAAATAACTCTTAGAGATTGTCCAAAGCAAGTAATACTTCAAACCAACGACAAGACGAAGGTTGGCCATATTTCATCAAAGATAGTGCAGAGCTTTATTTGTAACGTCAGAAGGAATATTGTGGTTGACATTTCTAGCAATAAATCGTGTTTCATAGTCCTAATTTGTCTGAACTAGTAGGCTTTTGGCTATGTATCTCTGTATCTGACATAGTCTGTTAGCAGAGTTGCATCGCCGTAGTCCCGGAATGGCGTTTCCAGTGATGTGTG